ATATTCCACAAAGCTAATAGGTGCTGCGACGTTTCTTCATTCACCGAGCATTTGCCTCTCTCTCTCTCTCTTTGGAGCCTTTGTGCATGCTTTTCCGAACGACGTCCAAGGGTGTGAGCGCATATTATAATATTATTATACATAATAAGCCAACAGCATGTACGTACATACATAATACCTACTAATAACATTTTCGGCCTCTAATTGCGATGGTAATCCGCGCTACATACAACAATCGGGGTGGTCCAAACGTTTTTGCTGTAAATTTGAACTTCAGAGGTTAAATGGCAGCAGCTCAGTCACTGTCGCATTAATTGACTTGATATTAAAACGTGTTAGCCGTTAGCACAGCACAATATATAATATTAAAACAGCCAATTTTTATTAAAATATTTCAGTTCACCTTATTTGTGTTCGTTGTGTATAAAAAGTGTTTTTTTATTTTTTTAATAAACTATGACAGTGTATCCAGAATTTAGGAAATCAACATTTACTACATTTCAACTCTTTGGAAGTGAACAATAGAAACTTTAAAGCATATGGGATGGATAACAATTATTAAGAGTGCAATAAGCATTTAAAACTCCTAGCCAACTAGTTATTTCAAATACTAATCTTATCGACATTTTTTACTAAAAATATATTGTTATTAGATTATATAAGCTAATAAAACCACAGATTACTATAAATAAACATCTTCTGTAATCACATACTATAGTTGTACCAAAAAATAAAAAATAAATATGATGCAAAACGTTTATTTGAAAAAAAAATATACAGAGCCAACACGCAACAGTATTTTATTTTGTAGAAATAAACTGCGTTCAAAAATAAAATAATAAAAATAATGATAATGACAAAAAAGCAACCACAACGTCTATCTATACACTTTAGGTGTAGCAAATGTATTTTTGTTTTATGAATTTATTTAAAGCGTAAACGAGATATAATTCATATGAAATCTAAAATATTTCAATAAATATATATTAAATGTTGACATCATATACAAAAATCTCTACCTGAAATCTAGATTCGAAAAGCGATGAACTTGTATATCGCTTCATAAATAGACAATTTATTCGCAAAAAGGATGAATTTAACAAAAAAAAAAAACCGCAAGTCAAATAATATACCGATGATATAAATGATTTTCTTATACTACTTTTTGAACCATAATTTGTAATTACAACTTTAAGCAAATAAATTTTAAGATAAATATCAGATAATTTTTTTAAAGCCCGAGGCGTTCATTTAATTTCCTTTCGATAATGGAGTTTAAAAACAAAAGCCTGTATACTATTTGATGTCTATCCCACAATTTAGTTATTCAGACGTTAATTTCAATTTGCTTGACAGCCAGCATAATTATTGACAGGCGAAATAAAAAAAAACTTCAAGGTGTTAACGTTAAAAGTTATAACAGAACTAATAGAATAAACAAACGACACTCGATGGCAGCGTCAAAGATAAAAATATGCACGTTTTGTGTCAGTTGAATGGCTCGTTTTCCGCCATGCGTCGACCCGAAAATCAACACAACAATATTACAAAATCCCTTGTTATTATTATTTTACATAGACCGACCTAAATCTTTAATGCGTATCCTAGTCAAGACCGCGTTTTAATACTTAATTAATTTTCGGTCTCGGTCGTTTGTGAATATCTTCCCGGAATAAGTAACAATGTAAGGCACCATAATATACTAATAAAGATAAGGTCTTATAACCCTTTAACTTAAGCCGGGCGGTGGCCGCGTTCGATGTGTAGTAATAAAGCCATTTCCGGTAATCATAACGAAACAAAAAGTAATAGAAAAAATACGAATTCGATTGAATTTCGTGCGGTTTGCCGACTTTCAAAGAATAAAACAAAAAAAGAAAGAAAAGTAGAATGGGTGGAAAAGAGCGTTGATGTCGAGAAAAATGGGCAGAGGTGGTTATTTGTAAGCGTCAAAGTCGCGTGTTCCGCGGTTATTGTGTTGATACTAATAATATGATTATAGCTTTGTAAACTCCTGCCACCGACCAAATACTGTTACCTGTATTATTATATTTTGTGCCTTAGCAATGATAATTGTGTGCAATCCGTCAATCGTCGATGATTCCGAACTTCCGCTTCGATAATTATTGTCTTGTCCGCCATCGGGGTATGCTAATGAATTATTTTTCGTTCCCAGGCCAGGCGAATTATGTATAACATCAAAAACACTATTGTAAAATACCCAACAAGAACTTGGCGTATCGATTCTGTTACGTTAAGCCCGTCAGCCGTAAACTATGTACACAAACAACATATTTTTCGAAAAACAACAATATTTGCAAACGTTCTTCGTGGTGACGTGTATTTCCCTTCACAAGCTGATTATTTATAGTGACCATCTGAGAAACAAAATGTAGTAAACCATTGAAAGAATTCGTTATAACTGAGCCGACCCGCTGCCTATGACTTCCGGCGTGTTCCATAATAATTATATATGAAAATAATACCACCAGGACAGCTGAGAACCATCTGCAATTATATTGTGTATACACGGCATACCAGCGTTGGTTACATTGAGACGGTCTCGATCTAAAAAAACAGGGCAAATAAGAAGAACAAGAAAGGCCCAGTCGGTCTATTGATTTACTATTTTAATTAATATAGCTAGAACTTTGTACCTAATGCAAAAAATAAGATAATCTTAGAAAAAATTGTGGAATGCCGATATTTTTAGCATTAATATGAGATGACAAGAAAATAACAAATAGTATACATTTAGTGGTTTCAAGAGAAGCATATTTAAGAATATCACTTCAAAATTGTTTAATATAGCGTGGCCTATATACGTGTCTTCAATATCTATGACAATTCAATGGATCGAACGATGTAGAGCAAATTCAAGATAAACAGAGTTGTAGTGGCTACTTTAGTTTCTGTCGAATAAACACTACCATAGTATTATACAATCATAAAGTCTCACGTCTGTAAGCTTAATCATTATCTATGTTCTCCAAAACTAAATGACCACAAAATTATCAGTCGTTTTTTTTTTTTTGGTGCGATAAAATATTTCCGAATTTCTCGCCACAAATGTCGTTACCGCATTTTTCTTTTATAAAATAGTGCGGCGGGGAGTTATATATTAAGTTTAAATTCACACCAGCGTTCGCTCAGATCAACCAGAGTAGGGTGAAGGAATTTTAAAATAATGCGAACTACAGTTAAAAAATGGTCCAAATTACGTTTTGCACCGAGGACGAATAATTTCTACGGCTGCCAAAATCAACATAATGCACAAAAAGGAAATAATATTACACGGCGGCTTTGATGAATGGTTTTGCGTGAAAGTGTAATAGTTTAAGGCTTTGATAAACCTCGACAAAGGACGATAGGCCGAGACCAGCGGAAATCGGCTAGTCTTACTTTGTATTTGTCATGCTACATTTGAAGTAGTTCATCCCTAAGAGAAACTCAAAGGACTTGCAATTACTGTTTACCGACAAATTGATACTATACAACGTATAGGAAAGGCTGTGTATAGGCTGCGAGTGTGCATATGTGTGTAACTTTCTGGCGCTTTATCGGTTAGCCAGGCATAATGTCTCTATAAATTCGGTTGGTAAAATATAACGTACCGGATTACTTCATGGCCAAACAGATATACACACATACGCAAGACGGACTGAGAAAATTATAAAATGACTTAATATGCCGTGCAGCCGCTTGATCAGACATTGCGATAATGCATAAAGACCGGTCGGTTGGAAGCCAAACCACTTCTCTGGTGATTTAAAACTTACATTTAAATAACACATTATATGATTGCCGTTGATCGAGCACGGCCGGCCTGGATTCGTTGTACAAACGAGATGCTGTATGTAACTGATATTTATGGTAGTTTCAATATTATTTATAATAATAGAAAATCCGCAAAAACCACCATGAAGACTGGTTTGATCAAAAACGCAATTGAATATTTTGTATGCATTTTTGCGTTAACCAACGAACCGATGGTGTTAACCGGTAGTATAAATTGTACAACGAGGTCTTTATAACCTGACAGAAACAGCCGAGGTGTTTTTATTCTCCGCGTAGCTTACTAACATAGGTGAGACCAGCAAGATTAACAGATTTGGTCTGTCGGGCTAGAAAACGACTAATAATGACAATTGTATCATAATAATAACAGTAACTTAAATTATAGTCATTATTGTTATTGGTTTTTTCAATTCCACCTCGCAATCGCTATATTATGTATTCTCGGAATTGGCACTATTATTATTATAATCGTTATATCAGTTATAGCAGCTATCAGTTATATAGCAGCCGATTTGCATACAACACAATGTATGTACATATTGTACAACTCAAACAACCGCAAGATAATTATGATTGTCGACTTAACCTAACCCAACTGATTTTTTTTTTTTTGGATTTGGTCAGGATGATTTAATCGTCATCACAATTCATTTAATTGTTGTCACTACTGACATGAATGGAATCCATAGTTATTATAGGGAAATTACTCATGTATACCTTCTTGTTTTCATTGACCTTTGTGCTTCCAAAACTCAAAAAAACGTTACCTTGGGAACAGCGGTTTCACGAAGAATCCGGCGGCGCACGTGCTCCGTTATAATGTTGTATACTATACGCCGTTTTATATTTTATATAATGTATATGTATAGGAAATTGTACTTAAGTACCAAATGGGTGCATTAGTTATTATTTTTTTTTTGAACCGTAAAATACATTAAAAGAAACGAGAATAAATAAGTATTATATTTATTTCGATTTTTTCAAAAAAAATAGTTACCTAAAATCTTTTAGTTCCTTCCGTTTTACACTATAATAGCTCATACAAACGTCGAAGTTTGTAACACACAAGTATGTACCTAGGTACTATATGTACTAATAATTGACAAACAAAATACTACTAATCTAATAGACTATTATATTGGTTTACCGCAATCGTAATTAATCTATGTAACAACAACAATAATAATAATATGGATACGCACGTGTCTGGCTAAGTATGCATGATGTCGGCCGAGCGCGGCCACGGTGATCACGTACGTGAGACAAGTAGTGGCACTAAGGGCCATGCACAGGGCCAGTGTGAGGGGTAAACTGACGTAAGCCAGATAATCGTAGAGGAGTACCCAGCCAAGCAGGTCGGCGCCTTGGGCCCTGTTGGTCACCAGATGCAGAACCACTTGGACGTCGGCGGTTAGCCAGGCCAAATGGGCCACGACCGTCCAGTATCGGCGTCGGCCGGCCGCCAGCCGAACCCACATCAGCGTAGCCACGTTGATGGCCAGCAACGACCACGTGTAGAGCGACCGGGCGTCGTACACCGACAGACAGTACAGATCAAATAGCACGGACGCGGACACGTAGCACGAGAATGCCGCCCGTTTCTGCTTGGCGTTGTAGCTCTGGTAGAGACCCTCGGTGGCCCGGTCGGCAAAGCGTCCATCACCACCTCCACCTCTACCACCATCACCACTACCGCTTCCATCGTCGCCACTAGCGTCCACAACCACCGAAGAAGACGAGCTATCCATTATTTCGAATCGGCAAACAAACGCGTTTTTTTTAATCCGCTCAAAAAAATGTTTTATCGTAAATCAATATAATAATAACTATCAAAATTGTATAGACATAAATATATATGTATATATATATATATATTTTCTTTAAATTTATTATTAAATAAACGATCGAAAATCCAATCGTATTTTGACGCCTGATTTTCAAACAATAACGGCACGTGTGTGTTTCCCGCCGACGTATGCGCGAATCACGCGTGTCTTTATGCTCGGGACGGCAAGCCGACACACGACCGGCACACTCGTTGCGCCCGGTGCCACTGCCAAAGCCGCCGATATCGTCGCTGGCGCTGCCGCCGCCGTCGCTATTTAACGGGCGTCCCCGCTGCCGTCAGGACCACCACGTCGCGCGCAATCGATAGCCACATTCGCGCGCTCCAACCCGCCGTCACGCTGGCGGAGGTGGTTCGCGCTTTATCACTACCATTTCTACTTATATATATGTATATGTATTATACTCGGGTCACTCTATAACATAACTACAGCTTGAAGAATATACTATTGTCATCAGCTATTAAACTATATGTTTAGGCAACGGTCTTTGCGGTATACTAGTTACAGGCTACAGAAACCGGTCGGTTATCATCACGTTGGGCTACTCTCTTCATGTACGCCGAACCTATTCGAAGAGTCTGTATGGCACACACATAATGCGCGTTTGACTCACAGCTATTAATTGTTGGAACCGGTAAACTGACTAATTTTGAAGTTTTGATTTTTAGTCTCCGAGATGGAAATTTGTTGTGTTTTTAGTTTATACCTACATTGTCAGCTGTATATCATGTCCACCGTGATGGTGCTCAGACTTCATCACATCCGACTCCTATAGGTCATCGTTCCTCCTCAGATTAGCTTATTTACCAATGCCAGTCACTATAGTAGGTATATAGGAGAGTTGGTGGATGGGGTCTTTACGTTTCTGAATTGGCTAAAAAATCCAAAATACCTAGATAAAATATAAATTGCTAAATACTAAATTGCTAATAAGAGAGAAAAGTACAAGAATTTAAAAATATATAGGTAACAATTAAAGAAAAATGGGATAAAATAAAATAAAACGATATTTATTAACAAATTTAAGAAAATAATCATTGAGGCTACAAATTAGATTTATCTAATGAATTTGTAATTCATAATTTATAACAATAAGACCGATCACCGAGGTCTAAATCGCTGGTTATTAGTGAATAATCAGGAAAGTTAGCTACAGCTGAATGATTATGTATGAATATGTATGTATACAAATATATGCTTATTTATAATCAAAAGTTTAAACTAATTCTTTAAAATTTTAAATTTTTTAGGGATGAAGTACTCTACAGAATACTTATTTCCATGGAAATTATCAGCATAAAAAAAATGAATAAATTATAACCTTAAATTTGATTTTAAAAAATAATATTGACGGAGGTACAGGCCACAAAAGATGACATTTTTTATAACGTTTTTTTTTTTAAATACTGATAAAACAACTCTCCTACTCATATCAGTAAAACCTATTTAAAAACTAATAATCTTTTGAGGCCTGTGTCTCCATCAATAATCATTTTTTCGAATCAACCTTAACATAATTTGTTCCTTTTTATGTTCATAATTTTCATGTGAATTACTTTTTATTTTATCTCTAAAAAAAATTCCAAATAAAAAAAAAATACACTTTTACTATATTAACAATCTGAACAAAAATAGGAAGCTTGATTTTATTTAATAGTTTTCAAGTATAAATACTTCCTAGTATTTTCTAGAGCTTTCGGGTATTCATGTATTAAGTTCGTATAGTTCGAACTATACGTGAATACGTACTACCTAGTTCTACCTAGTTCTGACTAGAATTTAATTTATAATCAAATTTGGTTAGGTAATCGAACCTGTTAACACATGGATCGCCCTTCGTCTATGCCATTCCAATCCAACTGACTATAATAAGAAGAGTAGAAGACAAAGAAAGGATTTTCATGCAAAAAAAAAAACGACCATATGTAAATTTTATGACCAAAGCTCCATGAATATCCTCACTTTTGTTCTATCCCTCTTACTCGATTTTCACTTTCATTTTCTCTCTATTAGCTGTCTATGTATCAATGCAGTATGTACAGGGCAAGCAAAATTTTGCTTAACAGTTTTTAAAAAAAAACATTTTATATAAAAATGTGTTTTTGCCAAATTTAACGAGCCTAGTTGGCTAGACTAGACTGAACGGTCGCCGATAGGTCTAAATAAACGCATCTCGAATAGAGAACGGGTAGCTAGCTCGTATCTGCGCTTAAATAAACATAAAGTCCCCTTTGTAGATTTTATATATCACCCGAGGGGCTAAACGGGCGGTCGTACCTTTAAATTATGTAACTCAGAAGTATGCAACTATAACTATGTATTTACAGGGTAAACTAATTACACAATATATATATATATATATAATAAACTTCTACCTGGATCCCTGAAATAGTCAGCTGATCCTGGAGAAGCGAAGTTGAGCGAACACGCACGATAAAAAAGGAAAGTTACAAGGCTAAATGCGTAGCGAATAGATTAATTTATATTATCGTAACTAGCAGACGGTCGTGATACGGTGATGGTAAGGTCTCAACTCCGCTTCTCCAATCTCGGGAACCCAGGTAGAAGTATAGGTAAGCTAGATAAGTAGCAAAAAATTACACAAAAACTCTGCAATAATTGTCTCATAAATAAGATCAACAGCAAATAAAGTATCTTTTTTATTGTACTAATAAAGAAGAATTAAAGCTTACGGTTTTACGAGAAATTATCTGCACTGTTTTTCCATGTCAAATTTTGCTTTCCCTATACTTATAGATATTTAATGAGCTGTATTTCTTTACTGGATGAGTTTGGATTAGGTTTTCAAGCAATTTTCTAGTTAAAAAAAGTTTTTCAGCCGAGTCTGCAACCACGAAAGAGCATTTTCATGTCTCGTTGAAGTACCGAATAAATTTAGAGTAGTGGTGGAATTATAGATAATGATATAGTATATTAACTAGCGGTAACAAGCTAGTATAAAAATAATACGTCAAGTTTCTGGCTAAAATTGTAGTGTTTATTATCTGGCTTAAAACAATTCATAGAGAAATTGGGCCCTTAAACTGTTTTGAATTTATTATTTAGTTCTAATTTGAACGTTGAACGTACAACATATCTCTTATCTCAAATCAGATAACAGCGTAACAGAATAACATTCGAAATAGATCCAAAATGGTCATTCCGATAATTGTCTTTCGTCGTCGCTTCGTAGTTTTTGTTACATTGCGGCGCGTAACAGCGTAACGCTTTTTTGGTAACACTTTTTTCCGGTTATTTACCGGCTAAATCTCACCCTTATCAACCCCCTTTTCCACCCCTATCTCCCGTCCCCAACCCTTTCGCTTTTTTCGTTACGCTCTTTTGGTAACGCTTTTTTCGGATATTTGCCAGGGTTATGTGCCAGAGCTAAGACATGAAAATGTCAAAAAATTACATGGAGCTTCCAGTTACAGCATAAGGCCAAGGAGATTAAAAAAATATGTACAATCAAGTTTCTGGCTAAAATTGTATTGTTTATTATCTGGCCAAAAGTAACTTAACATAGAGAATCAAACTATTTTGAATTTATTATTTAGTTCTAATTTCAACGTTGAACGTACAACATATCTCTTATCTTTTATCTTATAAATCTTACCCCTATCCCCTACCCCCTATCTCCCACCCCTATCTCCTGTCCCCAACCCCAACCCTATCCCACCCCTATATCCTGTCCCCAACCCCAACCCTATCCCACCCCCACCTCTTACCTCCTACCCCATTTCTTTTTTCGTTACGCTTCTTTGATAACGCTTTTTTCGTTACGCTTTTTTTCGGTTATTTGCCACAGCTAATTCCACCCCATTCCCATTCCCACTCCCAACTTCATCTTCATCCCCATTTACTTTTTCGTTACGCTCTTTTGGTAACGCTTTTTTCGGATATTTGCCAGGGTTATGTGCCAGAGCTAAGACATGAAAATGTCAAAACATATTTTATACTATAATTAGATGACTGAAGTAGCAGGTAAAAATAGAAAACGGGTCTCTAATTCACTTTATATAAACAGTCGATCTCTCGGGCCTTCTCCTATACTAGATGTCTTTGAATTGTAGAATGATCTTAAAATAGATTAGACCTTAATATAATAATTAAAATGTTAAGATTGGAAGGTATAAGTAAAAATGTATTTATAAAACAAACTGTATTTTAAAATTTTTACTTTTTAAGGAAATGCACTTCTATTTTGAACTTCATCTTTATTATAATGTAAACTACAATATGCTTCGACTTTTAGACCATCAGCATTGTTGGTTTTTATTATTGATGTTGTTAATATTATTCTCATTATTATTACCACTGCATGAAAGAGGGAATTGCGCTTTTAAACGGAACCCACAAGGAACACGTCAAAAACAGGTATTGCATTATGTATATTGTGGAAATATAATATAACAAGTATTCCTTTCAACTTGAGTCTTGAAGGGGCAAAATTCTAGTCTTTAGTATAATATATTTCAACCAGCAGCAAAGTTAACGTATTGATACCGGGAACAGATGTAATGCCGCGTCCTTTAGCTCATCCGCATGAAAGAAGTTTCCTTTCATAATATTCAAAAGTACATTCAAATGATTTCGCATTATATTATTATGCAAAACTTATATTAATATAACATGATTGCTATACTTCAGTTAACTCTCATATTGTGTAAGGACTAATAATACTATGGCATTTATTTGATATCAGTTTATTAATAGTTTAGTAATTTATGTCTTTCTAACAGAGTTAACTGTATATTGTTGTATAAAATTTGTTTTATCATAAAATGAATTAAATCCATATTGCAAATTACCTTTATTTTTATTTAACTGATTTTGTTGCCGTTAATTAAAGTTGTAAAATGTACTAGCACAATCGTATCTCTTTCCTTGTTTATTAGTGCACAATCACACCTGTTCCACTTTTAGAGAAAACAAATTAAACTTGCTTTTAGTGAATAATAGATTAGAAGTGCACGGCCAAATGTATACTGTCGATGTACAATGAGCAGTATATTTCGTTATTCGATTTCCTCTGTTTATTATTCACACCTATGGGGTCTTAAATAATAAAAGGAATTCTGTGGAAACCTATTCATTAAACTAAATTAAATGCCTAAGCGGAAAAAGCTAATCCATTATTTTGTGAGCTCAGAGTTCTACGGTGTTTATTAATTGCCACTTAAACGTTATTAAA